ATTAGTTTTCGTACTCTCCAACTGCCAAAATATGCCACGCGCATACGTTGGCAACGTTGGCAAAGCCACGCCGGCTAGCACCGTACGAAACACGCACATCTATGGACTTTGCAGACGACACGCCCCATCTATCGCGGGGAGACGACGATAGCTACTTCACCTTTGAAACAAAGTTAATCATGCTGGAAAATGGCGATTTCACTTAGGTGACCCAGCATCTTGGAACTTCAAAACTCGCTCAAACATTGTGTAAAGGGGTTAATTGGCTCGCTGATTATGGATATGTTGCCCGTTACGTTTGACAGGGCCTTCAAGTAATGCTGTCTCAGGTATATGGTTCAGGGGGTCTTGTTGAGACAGCAATAAGAGGGGGGGTCGTAACCAGCGATCGTGTGCCACACCTTTTGCTTAACCCTGGTGGTAACCTTTTCCTAACCAAATGAAGCAGCAGCGAGTTGATATGTTTGAATGAAGAATATTTGTTGCACTAAGTGGCCCGACTACCAGTCAGGCCCAGAAAAATTGGATCGATTTCACCAGTTTCGCATCTAACTTTTCACTAACAAAAACCTTAATAACTCCTCGCCTGGAAGCAAGCAGCAGATAGCGAAGGCAGATTTGGAATCAGCGTTCCAAGCTCTACAAGACAATATACATTTCATTTTAAAAGGCCACTTAGGGCCGCATGCACTAACATTTCTGCTGGGGAGGGAAACGCAGCTTCAGAAGAAAGCTTCATATCCTGAAGCTCCGGATATCTGGATTTCACGCTGTCTACCTATCCGTAAGTACTCCCACCATCCTTCACTATGAACATATTGAGCAGAAGCGAGAAGCTGTACAAGCAGCATTTCCCAGCTTTTTGTAGGATCCCCTGATGATCCCTGGGGGACGTACATCTATTCTTCAAAGTCTTTTTCTTTCTCTGAAGTCAACGAAAACCTTCCAAAGTTATACTGAACATCTAACACAACGGTGCTAAGCCCGTTGCTGATGAGAACAAATGAATTTTTGAAAAATCGAGTTTTTCGGTATACCCCAAATTTCGACCTGTGGATCATCGAAAATTTCATGACTTCAGAACATCATTTGTTCTTATCAGCAACATGCCTAGCACTGTTGGGTTAGATAATCTGCACAACTCTGAAAGTTTTTCGTTAACTTCGGAGAAAGAAAAATGACTTCAAAGAGAAGTGCCGGGGATCATCAGGGATTATACAAAAGCTGGAAAATGCGGTTCGTACAACTTCTCGCTCCTGTTCAACATGTTCATAGTGAAGGGTAGTAGGAATACTTACGGATAGGTACACAACGTGAAATCCAGGTATCTGGAGTTTCGAAATATGAAGTTTTCTTTAAAGCTGCGATCCCCTCCCCGCGGCCATGTTAGTGCATGCGGCCCTTAGATCAAAGTCCTTCCCTTGTAAGATACCAATCAGCACCACAGAACTCTACTCATAGGGAAGAGATACTCGGTGACTGTAGCCTTTTGAATTGCAATGTATTCCATTAAATGCATCTTAAAGCGCTGATTTCAGATTTGCCTCCGGCATCTGCTGTGCTCTCTTCCGAAAGGAGTTATGAACAATTTTTACCAACAAAATTTGCCCTTTTTCAATAACAGGATTTACCAGTAACGTTGGAATGGGCTCTTACGCACTACAAAAGCGTCCAAATAAAATAAAACTTCAAGTTAAGATCAGGAAAACTGTCTCCGATATATTCGAGCCTAAAAAGCCTAGATACTGACGATTCTGAGTGCTTAAATTTCATGAAATTCATATGGAAAAAACAGCTTTATTCAGAGAGCAGCACAGCAAATAGTAAGCATAGATTTGGAATCAGCGTTTTAAGGCACATCTACTGGCACACATTTACTGCAAAGGGCTATGGTCACCAGATAACCTTTCCCTGTCAGAAGGTGAATTCAGAACTGTCAATTGCCTTTCCGCTTTTAACAAATTCACCAAGTTGACTCCAAAGCTTTGGACAGCTTTGCCTACGCTGAAATTGCTTTAGCTTCTCGTTGAGAAGCATTGCACATTTTCAAAATAAGCAATCACAAACTTCTTATACACAGGAAAGCATGGGAATTACTACATTTCTTTCTACAATATCTGTTGCACTTATGTCAATCACTTCTACTAGAAACACCAGTACACCGCAGAGGATCTTTCTGCAAGGGAGGAGAAAAAACATAATAATACATCAAACAATACAAAAACCAAAACAATGTCTGTGAATGAGGTTCCACGATTCCACTGTTGTGATTTTGACCAGGCTTCTTACATAAATTGTGAGATAAATTAAGAACGAATATGGGTGCCCATAAGACCATTGAGGCTCTTAAGTACAGCTATGGCAGAATAGAAGCAGCACAAATCTACACATTTAAAGTTGAGTGTTGGTAAATTGTTATAGTATGTTCTTTATAGGAACTTGCTGTACACTCAGTACATCTGCTTCAACAGAATTTGCATCAACACTTGCAACCAAAATATTTGCTTTAACTAAGCAGCATGCCTCACCACCTCTTCTACAACGCCTATCAGAGCGAAAAAAAACAGTACGGCAACCTCCAAGAACCTCAGAGTCAAGAATTTTTGCAGTCAAGTTTCTGTTGTAAAAATAAAATCAGGTTTTTTTTGAGAAGTAAAAGATTATAGGAGATGCAACCTCTTCAGTAGGCTACGTGCATTGAATAAACATATCTCCAGATTTGCAGAAGGGCCATGCTCATTTACGCGTTTCCCGAGGTATTACGGGAAAGACTAGAGATGTGTACAACTTCGTCACGGTACACCATCCACTCCTTAGATTGCTTACCTTTGTTACGCTCACGAGCCTCTACTCGTACCTCATAGTCTCTCTTCCGTTCCTCAGGGGTCATACTTTTCCTGATGAAGATGTCAGGAAAACTTGAGGGTCGCAGAAGTCGCGCATTGGCCAAGGCTGTGCGCCAATGAGCTTCAGACGGCAGAACAACCTTGACCAATCGAGGCCTGCAGGATTTGAAAACCATTCTATCCATCCGGTACAATTCTACAGGACGACACTCCACCCTGAGAACATCTAAAATATTACCAACTTTCTTCTCCAGGTCAAGCTGTCTATCCTGATAGCCCGCGCTGCCCTCCGCCTCGTCCACTCCAACTTATAACTATGCTTCTAGACCGCTTCTCCGCAGAAGGATCTACCCCGCCCATTTGGGGAAGCTTCTCAGACAAAAGGGTCAACATCTCATCGATCAATAAATCAGAGTTTCTTTCTCTGATACAGCCGATAAGACCCTCTACTGTCATGTCAGAGAAGTCCGCTGTAAAGGTCTGGCTACTAGCATCTACCAAGCCATTGTGAGGCAAGATAGATTGGCTAAAGTTACCCTTTTTAGTTACACACGAACCTTTGGGCGGCATACCAGCAAAAAGTTTGACTACACAAATCAATGTCAAGTCAAAAATCGATATATGCGGGGGCACGAGATATTAGAGAAGTACAAGCAGAGATACAAGATGTAGAGTACCCAACAAGATAGGCGGGCAAAGAGAAAAGGATTGAAGAGTAAAAAAGGAAAAGAAGAAAGCCGAAAGAAACAAGAAATGAGATTGAACTAGACGAGTGCCAGAAATGAGACGATGGATAACAAAAATGAAACATTTATGAAAACATTCCAAACCTTACTAAATACCTAAGCAACAGTACTGAACGTATTTTTAATTAGAACAGAATTATCAAAGTTAAGAATTATCTATCAAAATGTTGAGATTTTCGACATTGCTAAACTTTCGAGTTGTGGTTCACCGTAGTTTTCATGACTTCGATACAATATTTGTTCTTCTCAAAAAACATGGTTAGCATTGTTAAGGGAGTTGATCAATTAGTACAACTTTAGTAAGTTTTCATGACTACGAAAAAAAACTTCGCAAATAAGATGGTAGGCTGCCGGGGATCATCAGAGGATGATAAAAAAAGCCGCAAAATGAGACTTTTCGCTCCCGCTCAATATGTCTAAAGTAAGTTACTGGAAAGTGGATGAATAGACGCCGAATTTGAATGTCCAAAGCTTTAGGACATGAGCCTTTTTTGAAGCCATGCTCCCTCCCTGGGCATGTTAATGCAGGTGACATTAGGTCCCCACGAGGGCCTACAAAGGAGTGCAGCGCGATTAGAAGATGAGAAGCCATTCAGCGGTCTCCATGTGATATGTATGGACAGGGCCCGGAACGAGTCGGTTTCTGAGGTTTCTGAAAACGAAGTCCCCACCGACTATCAGAAATTTTACGAAGTCCCCTTTGACCCTTATGAAAACTATCAATTCTATAGTTGTCATGTTTACACCCTCCCACCCGCCTAAAACTTCATTTGAGAAGTGAGACAGTAATGAACCTAAGAACGGTTAGATTCCTAATACTTGCGTTTGAAATTTCGAGGTATAGACGGAGTTAAAATGATAGCGATTGGATTTAGTGACATTTCTAGCTTGGATAAACAAAACTTTTTTGCTTCGTAAGATGAACAATTAACTTTTTTATATATGCCCTAATTTTTATATTTCAACACGCCACAATGGCTCGGCATGGCATCGACTGATCATTGAAAACACCTTGTGTGGGTTTTCACCTCTGGCCTTCGGTAAGCCATCTACGTCAAGAATTATGAAAAGCAGACAACAAAAAGAAAATGAAAGGATAAAGTCATTTCTCTCGAAGCTACAAAACATGCTTGAGTAGCTTCAGATGCTATGAATGTTCAAAACAACAAATCATAGCAATATCGGTTATGCAGGTGAACACAGCCATTCTTTTGTGGAATAAAACACAAAAGAATCAGTGATATTACTGCATAAGCTTGGACCCACTAATTTCACTTTGATTCTCAACCATCACTGTCATTTTTGAACTTCACTTCCAAATGGATAGAAAAACTTAAAGCAAAAAATTTTGTGAAGGAGAAAAATTAGTTGTTTCTGAGGAAGCAAGGAGCCAGATGCCAACTATGTGTCAACACTTGCGAAGTCTATCTGCTCTTCTAATGAACGGCCAGTCTGTACAGACAAAAATAAGCTTAAAAGCACATAAGTTAATCGATAGCAAAGTTCGAAGATCAACATTTGGAACATCCTGGAATGAATCGGCCACAAATTTCAAGTATTGTTGGATTGTTTCCATACGTAGGGAAAGCATGGCGGTTTTCCAAACTGCCTAAATATACTTAGTCATTCTAGCTTGATGAACAAAGAAAAGCGTATATTTACCGGTGCATTTTTTGCGACGATGTTTACTTGCATTGCAAAACTTTTTTGATACCATTGCGGTTCGCATCAGCGCTATTTTTGGCACGATGACAACTGAGGGTGAAGTGGTCCGCCCGTCCTGACTTCTTAACTGAAACCATTGTGGTTTACACCACAATTCAACAAAATTTTAAAAACGTATTGACGAACTGCTTTGCTCTAGAGAGTAGGTAGAGCACCAATGCTCTCCCTCTTTCCACTTATACTTAAAGCGTAAAAAGCGAAAGTCGTAAAACATCCATAGGCGATTCATGACACGCAAAGACTGGGCGCCACTGCGTCTAACCAAGATAGTTCGTGCATGGGAGAGACAGCAGATAGTAAAAGAAACGAATAGCGCTCGACCAGAGAGATGCCGATACGTCCGCAGTCTTTGCGTGCTACGAATGGCCGGTAGAAGTCAAATTGGAAATTTCATTCAGAACACTCTAAAAAAGAGGAGCTCTTTTACAAATACAACCGTTCGTATGATAATAAGACATCTTGAATCTGTATCTGCGTCACTAGGAAAACAATAATATGGTGAAAGAAAGAAAAAATCTTATCAAAACCCCAATCATGATGCCATACTTTAAATCATCATTCAGAATGATCCTGGACCCAAAATCTCGGACTTGTCTTGATATCATCTATGTATGGACGTTTCTGATATCCCTCGATCGAATCATTGACGAACAACGTCGTGTTCATCAACGGTCATCTGAAAAATGCGAAAAACCGAGAATTTCTGAGAAAATGCACAAGTCGCGAACAGATTAACCTTGGAATCATTCGTAATGACATGATAAAGAGCTTGCCAACAAAGAAAAACGAATGAAACAAAACAAACACCAGAGTTAAGAATGACAGTTGAAAGATAGGCGGCATGCTGCAGACGTACAGGGTTTAGCACTGGGGCGTGATATGCAGCAAAGAGGTTTTACTAGTAAATTATAGATAAAAAACAAAGGAAAGGCAACATATGGATATTTCCTCATGGTGAAGGATAGACTGTCGACCGAGGATTTCGTCCATGACAGCAGAATCCGAAACTTATGTGAAGTGACGAAAATATATGCCGTCTGGAGACGTTTTAATTTTGGAAAAGGTATTCCTTCACATAAGTTTCCAAAAGTTTTTACATAATTCTTCTCCAAATAATTTTCGTATACAGTTCAGTTTTGGAGTCATATGATTTTGAGTGCGCTGTAAACAAGCAATTTTTTAATTTTAGCCTTGCTTTCAAATCGCGCTCACTTTTCGCCATACACGATAGAGCACGTTAATCGTGTGATAACCTGTCCGAAAAGCTTGTGTTTGACTAAATAGAGCTTATTCTTGTCGTTTGGCCCCGACTCGTCAAAAAACGATATCTCCTTTGCTTTTTGCTCCAAAAACGAAGTCCAGCCTGCTTCCAGACCATCGTGCCGGGCCCTGTGTTTGGAAGTACTCTGTCGCCTCGGAACATGATGGCAAATCTATGTTCGCTATCTGCAAAGCGATATGTTAGAGAAAATTGCGGTTTTTTTTAAGTTGTGCGGTACCGGACAGCGAAAATCAGGCTGGCCAATTTGCCAGTAATGGCCAGCCATTGTACTTGAACTAAATGATTCAGATACAATGGAAAGAAAAGCAAGAAAATCTTGCATTGTCCTCCTAAACCTTGCAGTGATGAAACTCTGTCATCGGAAAACGCTTAACTTTTTCCAGAAAATAGTTTTGCAGGTAGCGGACATAGATTTGAGATCAGCCTTCCGATAAAAATATTTGTAAGCAAGTAAGTTTATCGAGGTGCTAAATACCAGTTCTCCTCGCTATTCATACAATGATCATACTTGCAATATAACTTCTTAACTTGTTCTCAAGAAATGATGTATAAGATTTGCTTCGGAAGCAATAAAGGATACTATCTGCTTTGTCTGAGTACCCGGCGAAGGTCCCGCTCGGACAGTGAGTTGAATTGACCCAGTGGGAGGCACATACTTGTTCCCAAGGCGTTCAAAAAGTCACATTCCAGATGGTATCCTGAGTTTGCCCTTCTTTACTATTGCGCCTATCCCCTTTCTTCCTTGCTCTGGCTGCAGAGTTCATCCAGCGCTACTGTGGCTCCCGCGGCATATTTGTCTTCCTTCTTGGTTCATGATTCGCAACGCTGCATCCTCCCCACCGCAAGATGCAAATGAGCTCTATCTCCTGTACTAAGTTGATCACTGGAAAATGCTTGGTTAAAGCATGATAAGCTTTCTCTCCGCAGATCTTAGTAAGAAAATCAATAAATCGATAGAAAGTTCTAACTGATTTGCTCCAAATAAATATAAATTCATTGATATGGAACCTACAGGGTTTCACCAACTTTTATTGACATAGCTCGATTGTTACTATCATGATTCACATACTACATTCTTTGAATCGTGATATATTGGCAACACATAAAACTTCCAGCAACTTTTAGGGATCAAGTAAGGCCGCTGCCACAGGCGAGTTGCGTCGAAGCACAAATAACTGCGGCTAAGGGAGAACCTGCGAAATCCCCCAGAAATGAGTTCTTACTTGCTAATGAATATCGACAATTACCACTGCAGCATGAGGCCTGTTTCCTTCGGTGGGCAGTGTTTCCCGCAACAACATAGTTGAACGGATATCTGGAAATTAGTACTCTTATGTCTCGGCTATGCTGTATTTCGAAATTCAAAAAATGGTCTGGTAAAGCAATGGCGTACCGAGGACTCCCTCCCCCGAATGGTTTGCGAAGTTTTTGGGATTCCTAGTGACTTGTTTGTAGCTGTCGATAATTAAAATACAAGGTTCCCAAAAAAAAGTTAACATTGTCAATAACTTCGTTGTTTTCATGTCGTTCGCCGAACTTGAGGTACCATTCTGTAGAGCGAGGTTCAACTTGAATATGTAGTATTTAGCGACTCACCGGTCGCTCTTGGTTGCTGTAGGATTACGGTATGAACTTCTAGCATGTGGATCCATTGTGAAATATGCCATTTGACAAAATTTTTTTTACAAAAAAATATGAGAAATTGTGTACTAGGGTTTCCCACGCGCTGATTCCACTACACAACTTTTTACGAGTGTTTTTAGCTTTTTGACGGTGTAATCACATTTCTCACAAGTGCTGCAAATTGGTTTATTACGGTTTACCTGGGATAACCTTGACGAGAAGCAGCACAGTAAGGTGGGAATTTCATATTCGAAATGAGCGGGTTCCGTTACCATAGTATAAGGATTTTGGCTTGTTTGGTTCTGTTCCGAGGCGAGTACGGCCTTCAATAGCCCAAAATCCTTGTCGAAGTTCCCCCCGTAATCTTACATGAAGAGCGATCGATGATTCGCTCCACACTGTAGATCTAAGTGGAACCTCGCTCTACAAAATGGTACCCCAAGATCGGCGAAAGACATGAAAGCAAGGGAGTTATTAAAAATCAAACAATGTTAACATTTTTTGGGACACCCTGTATTTTTGAAATTTTCAAAAAGATATTTAGCTTTAGAAAAGTTTTCGGGGTTATGAGTCCGCGAAAACTTTGGGAAAGTACTAGAAATTTTTTGGAGTGCGTGGCGTCAGCCACACACACTCATCCAAAATTTTTTTGTCCCCCCCCCCTCCTCCTCTCTTGCAACGCAAATCGTGGGGAAGGCCACTGTGGCAAAGGGTTCCTTCATACAACACCGCAGGACGCGGCAGGCTGCCGCGTCCTGCGGCGTACTATGAAGGAACCCAAAGATAGAGTTGCCAACTAGTGGTTCATATAAACTATTATATGTCGAATGTGGACGGTGGCACTAGCTACCGTACCCCAGGCGCGCGGCGGGACCAACCGAAATCGGAATGAGCTTGGCATGAAGCCAACTGCTTACCGCGAAAGCCATTTTTTGTTTTTTGTGGATAATTTTTCGCATGAGGTGTCCAGTTTCGTGATTTTTCTTCCTTTTGGGCTTTTTTTGAAAATTATCCCACCTACCAGCGTTGTGCCACCATGAATTGTGTACGGATGAATGCGAAAACCGAATGGTGGAGTTTGAGAATCATTATTTTGGTCCTTGTAGATGATTTTTCGCATGTGGCTGGGGTGGATTTAACATGCTTCTTTTCTGTTCTTTGAAAAACCTCTAACGACTGCTTTTAATTGTCTTTGGAAACCCCTTGATGTTCTCATCCGGCTGCAATTTTCGGTTTTCAATGTCAGCAAATGCTTTTACCTAAAACACATCACAAATCTGCCGCAGACTGCGTTTTTTAGAGATACGGACACTTTTGCAACAATGTATTTATGGCTGAATGTATTCTCCTGATTCTTCTTCTGTATCCTGAAAACAGGAGCAAAAGAAAGGAATTTGCTTCTTTTAGTCTGCAGGGGACTCAGGAATTAAGCATGGAAAATTATGAAAAATTTATGTGAATAAAGAGCGTGCTTAACCTCTTTACAAATTAGGCAATTGCCCATCTTATGCACACCTGAGATAGGAAAACTTCCATTTCATATAGGTTTTTAGAATTTCCACATAAAACTGTTCTACACATGAAGTTTAGTATATAGTAACTTTTGGCTTCATAACTCCTCCTGTACTTCTTGTTAAGGTCAGGAATAGCAACGACGCCGGTCTTTTGAGGGAGGGAGCGAGGAGAGCGAGAGGAGAGCGCGCTCCAGTTGAAAGCCTGCTCATTTGGCGGAATCAATTGGAAACTCGCAAAATTGATAGTGGCAAAGGTGAAGCGTTTCACCAATGTCTATTTGCCACCCTCGTGCTGGACCCTGCTCTTGTAAGCACAAAATTATAAAGTTCGTAAAATTTTGTGTTTAGCTAGAAAGGTTCTGCAACGCTAAGCGCATCGACATGCAAGCAATGCACTTGTCTTGTCGCAACTCTTTACGCGAGACAGAAGCTGAGTTTTGAGGCTCAAAATCGTGCTAACTCTAGGGTAGGATTAGAACTTGGTAGAAAAGGCGACGAGTATCCAAGAATTTCCCAAGCGTCAAACAAAACATTTATCGAAAAAGCTTAATTTACCCCAAGCACTGGCAGAAGATAATTAGAATGCTTGAAACACAGAAAAACAAACGGTTTTGAAGCGCACTGACTTGAAAAGTATTTGAAGCCATTCAAAGAAAGTGACGCACTTTTATTTAAAGTCAACTAGGTGCAGTTTGCAGCAAGTATCTCAGACTTTGTTACTGTAAATTCACAAAAAATTTTAGCATGAAAAAATGCGGTTTTTTGTGATTAAAAGAGTTTCGTTTAAGGTGCTCATATCTACGAACAGCAAAAAATTCGCATTCGGAGCAAAAACATTTCAAAGATCGATACCAACATTCTTCTTGTGCTGCAAAAACCGTTTTTGGGCACTTTCACGTAGTAACATCGTTTGAGTGTCTTCCAAAAGTATTATAAAATTATGGGGTGTTTGTAAGATTATGAACTGCACTCGAATGTAGGCAAGGAACAACCATCAGAACGAGCTTTGCAGATTACTGATATCAAATTCGTTTTACCTGAGCACTCCAGATTGAGTTAAAATCGACTTACCGTAGAAGTTTTCTGTGGAGGAATAATAACTTTATGAGGACGAATAATGTAGGAGTCTGGAGATGATACAAGTACCCTTAATTCTGCTTACCACTTTAAGATCTAGATATTAGCAAAACCTTTCCTTATTTCTGCCTCACCTTACTGTCATCCATTCGTCATCGTGTGCATTCTTCAAAGAAAGAATACCTTCTCTTTCCTCGTCAAGAATGAAGGGCTAGCAAATGATGATTTTGATTATCGTTTCACAGATAAGCAAAGATGCAGAATAAATAATTAACATTATGTTGGCAATTAGTTGGAAGTACAGAAATTAACAAGCATTCAACAGAAGACGTTCGTCCGGTGGTATCAGGTATGGAATTTGGAAACTGAGCTCAAAATCATCTGGGAAGCAGTTAACTTACACGAGGAGTAATTAGCAGCAAACTTTCTTCATCTTTAGTGGTGGTATTTGATTTGGCTGTACCAAGCTGCTCCTGTTCCTCTCTAAACAGGCACTACTAAGATTAGCAACCACTGGGTGCACGCGAATGTTTTTATATGGGAACTTTTTGCAATAAAAAGGAGCGAGGCGGCTAAGCATTCAAGCTCTAAAGTGGCAGAAGGATATAAGCTGTTTGCATATAGACAATAATCCCACCTGCTACTGCTTTTGCAAGCAATATTCTTTCCCATATATGGTGAGAACCTATTGAAATGATGCTTTGATTGCAGAAAATATGTGATTGCTTCTTGAACGATTGTCAGTGTTGCATGTGCTACGTAACACACATTTACAAACTAAAAATAGCGACCAATTAACACTTCCTCTCAGCTATTGAAATACCGCGAGCTGTGTCATTTGTTTCCCAAGTTTGCAGTAGCTCTTACTAAATTCACGTTGGTAGACCTGTGACATCACCATTAGCAAAGCTGTCGCAATTTCCACTTTTTCGCCCTTACCGGTATGGTTTGATAAACAAACATCGAAAACGGTACAAGAGAAAATGCTGTGGCTCCCAATGAAACAACGCTATAAGGAATTCGCGAAATCGTTGTATTCATAGCCTATAATTTGAAAGTTGCTTGGTCGTATGTACAATTTTCTATTGTGCCAAACAGTTTAGTGTTCTTTAATTCTTTCCAATCACGGCTTTACGTTTCGACGCCTTTCGTCCTCAGAGGCCTAAAATGGTTCTAAGTGCTATCCGTAACCCTAGACCACCAAGCGTCTCCTCCAGCTCTGCTAATTCTCAGCCTTCCCGCAACCTCGCCACCAAATAAAATGTCATGGTAGCAAGACATACCAGAAGACCACCGCTACTCGAGTAGTCAGCACCGGAAATTGGCGGTCGCGGCAGACGAGTGAATCGTACTGTAGATACACAAAGATGATCTACAGTCATAGATTACGTAACGATAACGGATGGAAGTCAGAAGTTATCGATAAACACTCGTTCTTATTATTCATCTCTGGATTCTGTGTAGTGATCCAGAATGCTTCTAGTGCCTTCCTAGTCGAAATCTCTGTTTCATACGCAAGAAATCTGCACTTGATGTTAAAGTTTTCTCTACCGTGCCGTACGTCCATATGCCTGCCAAGCGATGAGCTCAGATTTTTGCGCCTTTTATCGGCTAGATGTTCTTTCATGCACTGACATTTTATTTGGTGGCGAGGTTGTGGGAAGGCCGAGAACTAGCAGAGCTGGAGGAGACGCTTCGTGGTCTGGAGTACGGGTAACACTTAGAATCATTCAGGCCTCAGAGGTTGAAGAGAGGCGTCGAAACGTAAGGCCGTGACTGGAAAGAAATAAAAACCACTTCTCAAACCTGTTTGGCACAACATAAAATTGAACATACGACAAATGCCAAGGTTTCATGAAAACGGAACTTGGAAGTTACTAGAATTGTTTGGTTTTTTTGGATTGACGCTTAGACTAATATGTGGGTATCTAAATTTTTTGTACTATGTGACTGACACGCTTTAGCTAAGCAACTGCTTAGGCGACAACTCGTATGCTTTATTTAAACAAATTTGTGGTTGGACTTGAGAGCAGACAGCAATCACTTGAGGAGATGGCGAGCTCAAGCGCTAAAGGTTCCGTTTAAGCTGGAATTTTGAGTACATTTTCTTGTTATAAATGAATCATACGAGCTTTTCGAGGATGGCTCAGAAGCCTCACGATGATTTTCCAGACTTCTAAACATACAGGATTGAACTGGATACTTTGAGTGCGAAAAATGAATCACGAAGACGCTAAACGGGACTGAGGACATCATACACGTGCATATAGGCGGATAGGTGTGTGGCCAACAAGGTCTTCACTATACCTAGGCCATAGTCTTCAGTGCCTGAGAATGTTCAGCTATCTCACTATATGTGGACGCCATAACTTCAAAAATCTGCTGATAGGATAGTCAACAACCGTTTAGTCACCTTGCTATAGTGTGTAAAAATGCACCACAATTTGAACTCTGGATAAAACAAGGCGAGTCCTGTGTGCCATAAGTGCGCCAGCAAATACAAGACTGCTGAAATCAAGACGGCATGGCCTTTTGCGTTCTTGATTTTTTTCCAGCCTTACTTACTCTGCATCACTTCATGATCAATGAATCAAAAGAAGGAGGGGTTATAAATCAACTATTATCTGTTTCCTCTGTCCCGCTTGTTGTGTAAGCGAGGTACAGTCGCTTCATTTCATATGATCATGTGTGTCATTGCACACACAGTTCACCTTTGGCGTCCCCATCCTGGATTTGTGGGAGAAACAAGCCTTCGGGTAAGTGTTCCCAAGGTGTTCTTAGCATTTCCATTCCTTTTTAGTCACTAGTCACCTCAAATTGATGTAATCGATAACAATCGGTAAGTCTCTTGCGTTTTTGCGATTGCAAATCCAACATGAGGATGCCAAAGTGGACTGTGTGTGCAATGGCACACATGATCATATAAAATGAAGCGACTGTATATATCACCGCCTTCTCTCATCGCCTGTCACGGGCACCGCTGTGCACAACTTATATGTTGCTTATAAAAAAACAATTCTGTAGTTCTTTGTTGGTAACTTTAGAAGTATAGGCGCCGTAAAACCTAATCGCCCGCGCCGTGCCTTGTACACCAGCGTAAGCGAGCGGTTGTCGCGAACGACTGTCGGCGTTCACTATATTGCAGGAAATCTTTCTTTAGCTTTCATGTTGTTCTCGTCAATGCAAGGTATATCTTGACGAAAGCTCCCTTCACAAGCTTGAAAAAGTATGAGTGGGAAGGGTGCGCGCTCATTGTCGCTCGCAAAAAGCCTGTAGCGCGTCGGGACCAAACATTCCCAGCCGCGCCGCGCCTTGGTGTTCAAAGCGGCAATTAGATTTTATATAAACAGATTTTATATAAACATAAATATACAGGGTGTCCCAAAAAATGTATCGAACGTTTGATCGTTAATATCTCTCTTCCCAAAAAGTCTTTTGCCTTGCTTCAAGTACCGTTTTGTAGAGCTGGCTTCAACTTAAATTTGCATTATAGAACGAATCACCCATTTCTCTTCATTACTGTAGGATTACGGTAGAAACTTCAAAGAGGGTTTTAAGCAATGAAAGGCCATCTTTTGCCTCAGAAAGGAAGCAAAAAAGCCTGAAAACTTCTATACTAGGCTAGTTAGAGTTGCTGATTCTAACTGTAAAGTTCCCAACTTATTATGATGCTTCATTGAAGAGTTATGCCAGGTAAGAGGTAGTGGCCATTTTTTCAATGTTTCTAAAAAGTGCGGTTACACCGTTTAGAAGGCTTCCCAATCTTGTGAATAGTTGAATATTCAACATAGAGTCCATAAAAACCCTATTACACAAGTTTTCACAATTTTTTGAAAATTTTTGAAACGGCAGCTTTTTCCGCATTGCACCATATGTTTCAAGTTTCTACCGTAATCCTACAGTAATGAAGAGAGTTGGGTGATTTGCTCTATAAAGCAAATCTAAGTTGAAGCCAGCTCTACAAAATGGTACTTGAAGCAAGGCAAAAGACTTTTTGGGAAGAGAGATATTAAAGATCAAACGTTCGATACATTTTTTTGGGACACCCTGTATAAACATATAAACAGAAATGTCGTCCCGGTTTCATGAACAACTAGTCCAATAGCGAAGCATTTTAGCTTACAAATAGTCTAAATAACAACGCAATTCGGTCACGAAACCATAGGAGTAAGATAATGGCTATTCATGGGTCTATACAACGGACGATTGAATCAACAGTAAAATCAGAAGTTTCTTTATGCACACACATTTTCGTCCCAGTTCCTCCAGTGAATATTCAAAGCTGAGAAGCTTGAGAAGTTCTGCATATAACTAATAAGCTAGTATATGTTCATTTGGTTGATCACGGTTCATAAAATTAGGGAAAAAGGATGCACAGCGTACTCTAAACTTATTTAGTCTCAAAGTAATAACTTCTATCAGATTAGGATATCTTGGCCAAGCTAGCAGAATGATAGATGTAATGCCAATCACATGCTGGTCCAATGAATATCGGCAGTATCAACTGCCGAAAGAGATGTAAGGTTGGGGTCGCTGTTTCGGTCACCGCGGCTAGCTTCAGTACAGGTTCTTAAAGGCAGTGTCCAGGAAGATCTGGGCGCATGGCTTTTTCACCTGTAAATTGATGAGGGGAATCCTAACTAAGGCACTGCCCAAGGGGCAGCGCAAATAGTTCATTCACGGCTGAAAAATCCCTCCCCAAAACCCCGCGTCTGCGCCGTGACCGTAACCCGAAAACGACTTCGCTCACTTTAACATTACGTTCGCGCTAGGGCCCATGCTAAGGCCCGTATGCACGTACATCCCCGCGGGGAGGGAGGGGATCTGAGAGGAGAAGCGTCATATCTCGCTAGTCCATATATCTTTCTTCTTCTTTCTCTATCTTGCTTTTGAAGGTTCTCATACACTGATATTTGCGCATAATGGATGCCAGGTTACTTCCATACAAGATTAGATATTCATTATTTTGTCTGATCCCCTGGGGATCCCCAGGGGATCACCTCACATTTTCAAAGTTATTTATCTTCCTGGAAAATCAATGAAAACGCTGCAAAATTGTACTGAAGATATATTACGATACTGCTGAGCATGTTTTCGACAGAAGAAATGGAATCTGAAGATTTTGATTTTTTCGATAATCCCTGGCTCGCGAGCAGCGGTTTATCGAAAATTTTGATATCTTGAGATTTCACTCATTTCTACCATAAGCATGTTTAGCAGTGCTGTAGTATATCCTCGGTACAATTTTAGAGCATTTTCATTGAGTTTCCAGGAAGATAAATGACTTTGAAAATATGAGGTGATCCCCTGGGGATCCCCTGGGGATCCCCGGGGGATCAGACAAAATAGTGAACATCTAATCTTGTATGGCAGTAACCTGGCATCCATTATGCGCAAATATCAGTGTATGAGAACCTTCAAAAGCAAGATAGAGAAAGAAGAAGAAAGATATATGGACTAGCGAAATATGACGCTTCCCCTCTCAGATCCCCTCCCCTCCCCGCGGGGATGTACGTGCATACGGGCCTAAGTGTTACAGTCACGGCGCAGCGCGGGGTTTTCGGAGACGGATTTCTCAGCCGTGAATGAACTATTTGCGCTGCGGTTTGGGCAGTGCCTTAGCTGGAACCTCCTCATCAGTTTCCAGGCAGGAAATCCATGTGCCCAGATTTGCGCGGACACTGCCTTTAAGCGCAGCGCCTGATTACGACATAGTGAATCCTTTGTCATTTTTACGAAGAGTTCCCCTTCATTGCAACTTTTTCGCATTTTATCATAACTTATAATAACGGGCTAAGGGTGTTTACGTTTTTTTGTGTGTTGTGCTTGTGTCTGTCTGTCCGTTACGAAATTCGTGGAGCGTGTTCCAGCCAACGTTCTAAGCCCAAATTTTGCATAGCGCACGCTGCCTGCGTGAAAGCCCACCATGCAAAAACATGAGCGGATCCGCTGAGTGGGTCCGTTGAAAATTGCGCCTCAAACGGATCCGCTTGGCTTCTGACCAGCAAAATCGGGCCGGTACCAACATTTTTTGCGAAGTCATGGATACGTTTGACAAGCTAATGTGCAAGCCATGGACGTTAACCCAAAAAATTGGACTAAAGTTTATTAGTTTACGAAAATGGCGCCAAAAAGAATAAGTTACTTAAATGTTCAATTTGCCGTGATTTTACCTTATCGTTTTTTTTTTGCACAGGGGTATAGTCCACGGTGATTATTGTCGTTATGGCGACTACCAGATCATAGAAAGCCCAAAAACCAATTCAAATTCGCATTGATTCTTCTCGAAAAAGTTTCATCCACGCGAAAATGCCGATCTCACACAAAAAAGCTCTGGGAATGAGTAGTTGTTCACAAATCATTCGTGATAGCCTGCATGGCTCGGTGAGTTTCAATGTCATTATTATGCGGGAATGAGTTAGGCATACAGAAAGTAGGGCCAGTGTGAACTTCTGCGAAGCAGAGGTGACGCACTGGTGAAAATATAAGTGGCAGAACGGATATCTTAAACATAAAATTGCATGTTGCGACTTGTAGGCAAACATATCAATAGTGATGGCGACAGGGGAATCTAGAGACAGCAAAAAACCAAAGAAAATGCAAGGAGACACCAATTGGCGTTGTGGGAAAGCCTTCCTGTGTCACCTGAGCAAGTGCAGTAAAAGCAAACCGCGCTGCCTTATCCAGGATTCTGACTTGGGTTTTTTGCACTCACCAGCGAGGTGACTAGAAGGTAGACGTCTACTATATATTCTCAATTCCTTGCAAAAAAAACAAGACTTTTGAGATGTGTAGTTACTTGCATTCTCCAGTAAAAGTAATTAATCCACGGCAAAAAGTATGACAGACCATCGCTCGTATTCTGTTCAAATCAAGTGCACACATTAGCAAAGGATAAAGGCAGTAGAACAATCCAATAGCAGCACTGCTACTCATCTAAAATCATTCATGGTCTAACAAATACAATGGATCTTTGCTTCACCTGATAAATGAAATAGTACTTTTGTTCAAGTTCCCCTTCAGCAACAACTTCACACTGTGGCATTACCGGATACCAAAGACAAATTACCAACGCAAAAAGAAGTATAATCTGAGATTTCTTCCTTGAAGAACGTTCGCAAACACTTGAGGCATCGAACAAGGCAAGAGAAGTAGAAGATGGAAATTAAGTTGAAAGCAATTATACAGTGTGTCCCAAACGTATGTGTACACAGTTTGATTATTAATATCTTTCTTCCTCAGAAATTCTTTTCCTGCCTTCAGGTACCATATTGTAGAGCAGGCTTCAACTTAGTTCAATGGAGCGAATCATCTATCTTCGTTCACTAGTGTAGGATTACGGTAGGAACCTCAAGGGGTTTTGAGCCATGGAGAGTTTCATTGTTCGGTTTGTCTTAGAAAGCAAACCGAACAATGAAACTCTTACACTAGGCTAATTAAAGCCGCTAAACCAAATATGAACTTCGCGTTTGATTGTGATGCTTTCCTCCCCTTATGCCCCATAAACCGTAATAGCTGTTTTTACGATGCTCCCTAATATTGCAGTCGCACCCTTTCAAAAGCTTTGCAAACTCCTAGAAAGTTGAGTAATGAAATCAGCGCGCGTAAAATTCTTGGTTTACCATTTTGACTCAGAATTTTTGGAAACTTTTTTGAAACACGACTAATCCACAATGACGGTGTATGTCCAAAGTTCCTACCATAATCCTACGGTATCGAAGAGAGATCGGTGGTTCGCTGCAACTATAAGTCTAAGAAGAAGCCAGCTCCACAAAATGGTACCTTAAGGTAGGTAAAAGACCCCTTTGGAAGAGAGATATTAACGATCAAACAGTATATATATTTTCTTGAAACACCTTATAAATTTTTGAGGTAAACTAGTGTAGCTAGTGTGAAATGTCAAACAAGCCGGATATTCACTTTGCCAAAACCGCAGTTCAATTCAATCTGCATAACTTTGTCGCAATATTGATTGACTACATTATCTTCCAAAGATCTTGAAGTTCGTTCCAATGAGCGATACAAGCCATAAAAGATAATTGTTTTTACTATCACTCCAGTTCCTAGCATGAGTACCTAAACAGCTGCAATACTTGTTATACTGCAATACTCCCACTAATATGATTTATGCATGAACCCCAATGTGTGTGTGCATGCATGTCTGATTTGTGTGTCCATATGTTGCGAATAGGAAATCTCAAATCTTACCAACACACTTGCGACATACACTTCGAGCGGGGCGGTTGTCACAGGTTACTTTTCGTTATAGAACAAATCCATTTACCGACTACTGAGGCAATTCTGCATTAGTCTAGCTACCTCTCTCAGACCTTACTATGGACTTGAGTAGGCGGCGTGGCAGGAGTTCCCAAAGCCTCGCCGACTTTCCTTGCAGGAGTGATTAGCACCTTCAGAGAAACCTGGAAGGGACATCACACCTTCACAGGTCGAGGAACGGCTCCGCCTTTTTCTCCGCCTTCTAAGTGCGCTCATTCTAGATTGTGCAAGCACAATGGAATCTTTGTATTTATAAAAAGTGAGGACCACTTAAGCTGATTCGGGAAATTTCGTTAATCGAATTCAATTTCCTTTCAAACATTAGAAACAGCGAATGAATGCAGATAAATTCACAAAATCTTGGTTACCAGTGTTAGTTATGTTTTAAAGAAAAGTAAAGCAACACTTTCTTCGCCACCTTTACCTGCTCCCCTAGAAATCTATTGTTATGCTGTGATAGATGATTACCTTGTGTCAAGCGCTCGAATCTCCGAACAAGAGAGCGTGTCTAACAAGCGTCCAAGTACAAACATCCAAGCATATGAACAGCATATTAGAGTGAAGGGGACCGAAAACTCGTTACAAAATTATTTTTTTCTATCATCGAATCTAAGAAAAGTTGATTTCTAGCCTTCGATAAGTACAGTCATTTGAGAAGTCGAACGCTGAATGCCCTAAGCCAGCATCTAAATTGGCCACCCCATATGTAAATTTCGAAATCTTATAGTATGACCGATTTTCCTCAAGAAAATGCACAAGTGACTAATTTTCATATATTAGGTCGCTCCTGAATTTCACGCTTGCATCTCTCTGGCATGCTTTCTAGAATTACTAAAATTTATTTTCTGAAGTGATCAAATTTTATATTTGGCTCATCACCCTCGCAGAATCAGACGCTGAACAGTTTAGGTACCATTCGATGCATCTTTTCCTCCTCTTTCTGACAGCTACCTTTTCTTTACGAGACATGTGACTTTTGCAGACAAAATCGCTGTAATTTCCAATTTTAGGTGCGCAAGGGTGTAGTGGAAATTCCAAAGTCAAACCATTTTCACGCCATAATCGCTCACTTACTTCGTAGTCTAGTGATAGTAATAATCGAGTTCCAGAACTTCAATATTTTGGGGATTTCGCAGTGTTTGGTGCAATTATGTGCCTTGCAGTTTCTTCAAAATTCAATGCTCTCGTGAAGTAATTCAGCAAATTTCTAAAGATGGGGTTGATATAATGCAAAAAGTTGCATTAATTTGCAAAAGGCTTGCCTTAGAAGGTGGTTATTAGAGCGCCTTCAAAAACTCAAAATGAAAATTCTAAGTTAAACATGGTAAAAATGATGGGCTTTAGTTTACGGCGATTATCTCAGTGCTTATCGAAATAGTCACAACGAAAACATAGCCGTTGAAAAGAAGAAAAAATTCTGCATCGGATAGTGCTTACAGCGTTTGTCTATCTTCTAAGTGTTTTGAGCATGGGTCTGAAAAACTGCGCGAACTTTCGGAGCGACCTAATATTTTTGAGCACCCGATTTTACATTCTAAACAATCAAATTTTCAAATCGAACTATCCAGAGAGTGGCAACATTTATTTCGAGATAGCTTTTTATACCTGAACTGGTAACCGCCAATTTGAAAAAAAAACCGGGCGCTGCATTCATACTAAAGTTTCATACTAACTTGAATAAAGCGTACTTATTACTGAAGTTTGTAATCAGTGAAAATCACATGTTCATAGTTATTTCCACATAGCTGAACTATGAAATGACAACTTATTTTTTCCAATTTTTTCGTTCTCCATACTTCAATTTCAAATTCTCTGTTTTCTCTACTTGCTTACCTCACAATGAGGGCAGTTAATGGGTGGAGCAATGGGCGGTCCCTGACCTCTGAGATGCGGAGGTGCTAGAACCCTCCTGGGTGTGATTGATGGTGCCAACTTGGTGCGAGGAAAGTTGCTAGGAACTCCTGCACGTCCTCCGACTTGAGTATGTCAAGGCTAGTATAGTCAAGTTAGTCAGAAAGTAGCCAGATACTCCGTTTGAGAGAATGTGGTTGAATTAGTAAACGCACTAAAAGGGCCCGGTCGACCAGCTGTTTCGGATTAATTCAGTGGAGTCTACCGTAAGGGCGGTATCCTGGCAGTGTTAAGTTAGGGTTTCAGTGCCATATGACAGTGGACGCTTTCGGCTACGCCGTCGCGTAAGGGCAAGCCATAACATTGAACTACAAGAGAAAAATGCGCCAGAGTTGGGAAACTATCGCTCTTTAGGAAGAGCACTGCCTTGCTCATATGTAATCTTGCGTTTTCCCCCTCAACAGCAGAGCGCACATGATTTTACAACTAAGATCAAAGGGCCTCTGCGTCTCAGCTTTGGAGAGTACTGCTTTCTTGTCTAAATTCAGAATAGGAGTTTGGAGAAAGCTTGGTACTGCCGTTGCGGTTGTAGGGTCGATATTTGAGTCCAGCGTGCGGATAAGCAAGGTGTGCAGAAAACTAGCTAGTCTTTCCCCGAACACTGCCTCTAACGTGTGCACTGTCGAGACTTCATGTAAATCAACCGATTTGCCATGTCGCTCCAATCTTTGCTGTCATGTAGTTAACAAAAGATAGCCTCGCTCTAGTTTAGCCCTGGTTTCCTTTTTTCTTGCTTTCCCCAAATGATACGCTTTGAATCCTTGGTCGAGTATAGTCTTTTGTTAGCTTAAAGGCATTGTTTAGACAAATCTGGGCGTGGGCTTTTCTCCTGGAAACTAATGAGGGGGTCCCAGCTAGAGCACTGCCCAAACAACTGCATTCACCTTTGAGAAAATGCTTGATAGGGCTTCTTTAGAATGCTTGCTGTATTAGGGTTAAGGTCGACATCAGGCCGCGAATAGTACCTGGCTTGACAAGGATTGCCCAGGGTTAAGTGTGAAGTGTGGCACGCCATACCTGGGGGGTCGTATAAAGGGGACAAAGAAGGAAGGGGTTGTAGTCGAGATATTGATGCTAGCCATAGCTTGATAACGGTAGCCAACTCAGATAAGCCCACTATGCAAGGTAGAAGTGCACTGAGGTTTCGATCTCAGCATTAGTACAGCAAGCATTATAAAGAAGCCCTATTAAGCATTATGAGCACATATTTGTGATTAGCATGTGAAATAACCCCTAGAATCAAGTTATAAATTGAGGTTTTAAAATATTTGGCCACCCAAGCGAAATGGTCATATCCAAATACGAGTAACTCTGTTTGAAAGTAAGTTAGCAACCTCTTTTTGCTCTTAGTACAAAGTACCATTCCTTTTCGTTCGTATGAAAAATCGCACTTCAAATAAACGCTAAATTATAAAATTAGGAGCCAGGCAAAATCGTCTGTCTCATTTTCGCATAATAGTAATGCTTTCAGCAACTATCACTTGGGTCGAACAAGGCGAATTGAGCTTCACTCCTGCGAAAACTAAGAGTTATAAGCTATCAAGTACATGAATATATTCGTCACATTCCCTTCCACTATACGTGGTAGCGCAGGGGGAGGTAGGTATTAACCTCCTATTCGGGTAAGTGTTCCCGTGCAAATCGTAATTCAGTCAGACGCGGGCGCCCACGTCCATGATTCGCAAACGTGCGCCTAAGGGTGCAATAACCTGGTCAGGCAGAGTCGAATAGGTCTGCAAGGCCTGGTCACCTCCTCGTTCTCGCTTGACTATGACTTGTGTGAAATAGCGCTCTCTTTGACTAGGTGACCGAAGACGTTAGTAAATTAAACAACCTATGCCCTAGTTGACGAGGAAGATTTGATAATTGCTATGTTGGAAGAAAATTTAGTTTTGGGACTCATAAGAAATCAGATCAGACTGGAGAGATAGGACTCTGAAACTCTTGTAAATTTCATAATTTAATCAAATCAATTATCAGATCAGTCAAATCACGTGCAACATAACAATTACCAAATCTTACTTGTTGCTAGTGCATAAATCGTCCGATTTATTAATGTTTCCTGCCAAATAATTACGCTATTTCACGCAAATTATAATCAAGCGACTTCGGGTAGGTAACCAGGTGCTGCAGACCTACCCGATTCTGCCTGATCGGGCTCTTGCACCGTCAGGTGCCCACTTTCACGCATCCAGGCGTGGACGCCCGTGTTTGGCTGAATTAAGGTCTGTATGGGGAACACTTACCCGAGTGAATATTGATACATACCGCTTCAGATTTAGCATACCCGTAATCCGATATATACCATGTAGGATTGGAAAACCTAAATTTCCTTAAGAGTCAATGATTCAGAAAACCTGTACTGTGAACAGAAGACGGTTCACAGTTGTAAAAAAACAACCTAGCTGAATGCTTTGAAGGTAAAATGATTGGGTTCCACACTCACTATTCTATCTGCGAAGAATTCTCTAGCTATATATCAGTGGCGTTCCGAGGGAGGGGGGCGGGGGGGGGGGTAGGAAGGCGCCTTGAGAATGAATGGGTCGCGAAATTTTTGAAAGTTACTTAAATGTGTTATAAAAATGTGCAAGCGACTTCTTTTCACTTGTAAATTAATTGAAATAATTCATACCCTATTTTCAGGTGTATAAGCCGCGGGGTGGTTCCAGCTTAAAATGACCAGCCCGAACACATCAAAACACCTCGTAACCAAAAAAACCTATACTGTGCTGCGTATTGCCTGGAAGAATCATGCAGCATAAGGATCGCTTCTCGAAACACAATGAAGCGACTGGGCAGCTCTTTTGAAAATTTGAAAAAGTGCGGCTTATAAACCTGAAAATAGGATGAAAATTTCTAGAAATTCAAATCAGCCTTGTGAAAAAATT